TTCGTTAATAAAAAGAAGGGCTAATATAAATACGAGAACCACGTTGGAGATGTTGCATAAAGGTCACGCTCACTAATTAGTAGTGCTTGCCTTCGTCAGTGCCTAAAAACTCCAGTCATTGTGGATAGGACCAGTCATTGCTACAACTCGACGGTAGCTCTAAACTGATAAGTAGCGTTATTTATGGCCACTATCTAACGAAAACCCAGAAAGATCACATAAGTCGAGGAATGTTCGACATCTCAACGTAAAACACGATAGTAGGAATTTTCACGAAGTTTTATTTTTTTTATGTTTATTGCACAATTGCGAATAAACGATTTTTATCTGTAGCGGAATGCCTCTTGCATTTATCCATTCAGCACAATTTCATACTCTGCGATTTCGGCGAACAGGAATAGCCCTGAAATTTCTGAAGTCTTTCCACAAACGTCCAACCGTATCGAGGATCTTGGCTGTTCACACGTTACCTGTCTTAATGCAATGTTCCTATTCAATGAAAGATCAGCAAGGCCGTACTCTTGTTCAGTAAGGGTGAACTCTACGATATCGACAACCACTGAACTAATCAATATGTATTATTTCTTGATAAGCTTGTTTCTCGAATTTCGAGAAAATGGCTCACTGAGGAAGATCTGGCTCGACACGAAGGCGAAGTCGCAACGTCGAGGCGAACAACAATCATGGACCATCGACTCGGATCATCGGCTCTGAGGAAGACGAAGACGTCGAAACGTTAGCCGAAAATAAATATATTTATCAACCTCGTGCAAGCTTATCAAGAAAGAATACATATTGCAACGTATATGTCTACACATTGCCAACAGAGATGTTCCCCAACAGTCTGGCACAAAATCGTTCCATCAGTTGTTGCATGGCTAACGCCACAATAGTCAAACGAGTTGGGCTAAGAAAACCTGCCCCATGCATCGTACTCATCTGAACCTCTTGCCTAATCTCAACAACATCATTCTATCGGGATAAATAAACTTGTATTATGTTGCCGACGATGTGTATTTTGGTCGAGTCCAGTTACAATCGTCGCTTTTAATTTTTTGGAGATTCTCACCTTAAGCAAATTTGGAACTAAAATAAAAAACAGCTTATAAATACCATAACTTTAGAGGGATAAAGCAAGACCTTCGTTACAAATTAATCAAATTTTTAGCTTCTCAGTAGTAAAGTTAACGAAGAATAATCACCTGCTTCCGGAAAAAATTACTTGATATTTATTTGTTACGATACTTTCTTATCCTCCTCTTCCCACGAACTGTTTTTGGGATTTATCACTGAGAAAAAAAGTATGGTCTAAAGCCCCGAGTTTCGGATTTCACTTATGCCTGACGTCCCTGAAATGCATGGGCAAAGTTCTCTCACCTTGATTGTCGAAAGTGGCAGCTCCATCCCTCTGCGTGTTGTGGGCCCGGGCTCTGTATGGGCAGTTGATCGGTAGCTGATTATAGTTCGTACCAAGTCGATGGAAATGAGTGTCCGTATAGGAGAACAGGCGACCCTGGAGCATCTTGTCCGGAGAGAACTCGATTCCTGGGACCACATGGGCTGGACAGAACGCTGCCTGTTCCACCTACATAGACGTATTGAATTAATTTGATCTGATAAATATTAACATATGAAATTACAATTTGATGATTTTCGACGGTAGAAAGGTTTTGACATTTTGACATGAGATAACAACAGTGACCAATCCGTTTAAATCGTTAATCCAGAGCACATCGCCTATATGAATCAAATGTCTCCTCCCTGTAACACAAACCTCAGCGAAGTAATTCTTCGGATTCCGGTTCAGAACTAGTTTTCCAACCGGAATCAGTGGAAATTCGCCATGAGGCCAAATCTTGGTGACGTCGAAAGGATTCATTGGCCATCTCTCTGCTTGCTCGAACGTCATCACCTTAACATAGAAATTCTTCCGATGGAATTGGCCAATAATGTGCCTGCTTCACCTGAATATAGAAAGTCCACTGAGGGTAGTCGCCTCTCTCGATCGCATTGTAGAGGTCACGGATCGAGTAGTCCGGATCTTCACCAGCCAACCTTGCAGCTTCAGCTGCTGAGAGATTCTTGATTTCTTTGGGCTGGAAGTTCAACTGTTAAGTGACATTCCAACGAGAAAATTTCACCTTATATTGAAATGTAACCGCTTAGTCGAGGAGATATTTACTGCTTCTTGAATACGGAAGCTATCTTTTGTAACGGAAACTTTGTAGGAAATTTAAATTGGTGCTTTGAAGCGCATGAAGGTGTTTTGCTTAAATTGGAGCATAAAACTGAAAGTTCTTGATCTATCAGATCTTCAAGCAAATGAATGAATGATCTAGCAATGAGTTTTCATATAGTTCTCCTTGAACAAAGGACGCGTGTGGCGCAGCGGTCGGAGCCGCCCTGAACACCACAAGTGGAACCGATCACCGCGCCCATGGCCCACCAAGTCTTCTATCCATCCGGAATCGGTAGATTGGTACCAGACTTGTCTAGGAAGATAGCAGCACTGGCTTGATACATCGCTAGACCACTACGAGTCATTGTAAAGGCCAGATATGCATTCAATCACCTCCATACGATGCTTAATGAAGTCGAATGCATGGCGCATCCCTCAGGGATTGATCAACGCCGAGAGCTTTATTCTTTTTTTTATCCTCCTTGAACAAGAACATGACCTAACCGAAATTCTTTTAAACTGCAGGTAACATGTGTATGACAGCAGGGAACAAACAAGTTAAGACTAACCTTCAAGTGGAATTTGCAATAAACTGCCTTGCCATCCGAGTTGACGAGCTTGAACGTGTGCGAGCCGTAACCGTTCATGAAACGGTATCCATCTGGAGTCCCACGATCCGACATTAAAAACATAACCTGAATTCGATCTCAGCATTCGATGCAAGCTTCTTCAAACAAGGAACAGGATTAAAAAAGCAGGAAAAAACAAGTATAGCTATACCTGGTGTGTGGATTCAGGACGAAGACCCCAAAAATCCCACATCATGTTGGCATCTTTCAGATGTGTTTGTGGATTTCTCTTTTGAGTGTGAATGAAATTCGGAAATTGAATAGGGTCACGAATGAAGAAGATTGGTGTATTGTTGCCGACCTATAACTGTTCACTTCAAGAATAAGTAGACAATGCGGTTAAAGAGGGTATATGAAGTGATTTTCAATTTTCAATTTTCAATTTTCAAAGAGTCAATTTTTGGACGGCTATCTTGAAAACGTTTGCTGTCTTTGGCTAGGAAAAATCGTCGTCGTTGAAGGAAAGCCGGTGTACATTGTCAACGAAAGCGATTAAGATGGAAACGACCGAACAAGGACTAGAGAGTAAGAACGATGTGAAGGAACCTCACCACCGAGCTCACGTAATTTTGTGAGATTTTTGGCCTGCATAGATGAGCGTTTTCAACCTCCAGGGTCAACTGATGCTGTCTTCTGTCTTTTTCACGAGAAACTGCCTCAAGCCATCGCTGTTATTTGCAATAAAACTCAACAATGATGGTCTGATTCCTTTGCAAAGATTACCAACAGCAATTGAAGATGGTCATCGTGGATCAAATCCTTTATATGATCGCCATCAAAACCGAGTGCTTGTCTTGAACATGGAGATTGATCAAGTGCGTTTTCTTCTTATGTACAACGCGAGTATCTCTAGCAACCTTTGCTTCTTCAACTCCTACACTAAACTTAAAAAAAATTTGCTTCTGCTCCAATTTGAGAAACTGTAGCTCCTTTCTTTCACTAAATAGGGCAAAGATCAAAATTAAAATTTGTCCTCGTGAAAAAATTCTGACATCAAGAACCTTACAAAGAAATGAAAAATCTGTATGAAATGCTGAGATATTTGCAAAACCTGTGGTCCGGAGTTTTGCAAATATCTCAGCATTTCATACGAGTTATAATTCGAAACATAACCTGCCATTAAGAAGAAAAAGGCAGTAAATAAAAGAGTTAAGATTGAAAAATCTGTTTTCAGAGCAATGCTGTGGACAAGGGCGCTCAGCTCAGGTCACATCGTCTCCTAGCTATCAGTCGAGTAATCGTTAGGATCGCTACCGTTGTAGAAAAATCCTCATCTTAAAGCGGCAAATCTTCTTTCAATACACACAAGCATGTGACTACAGCAGTGAAGAGAGCTGGAATGCCCTAGTACAGTCATCTCGAATTTCTGTCGAAAACATATTCTCCAACCGCAGATGAATTCACATAAGATCCTGATCACTTCAATAGACGATGGTAAGAAAACGAGAAGAATTTAAGAACTGCTAAGCTGCCGTATGAAGAAAATTCGGCTACGTATTTCGGTAAGTAGCAATGTGTGTTGAGAACGTAGCCACATAGGAGGCATGCTCCATGCTCCAATATTATTCTAGATTCTGTTGAGTTTGGGCTTCACATGCAACTTGTGATGGAGTCTTTCTTCAGCAAGAAAGTCCAAATGTTTATTGAAGTGGAGCAATATTCTATAGTAACAGCAGCAAAAAAATGCAGTCATTTCATTCACTTTTCATAAAATGCCACTTTATTTAGCTTTCTAACAGAGAACGCGAAGGGAGAGTCGTAGACTGGTAGCGGGAAATCAAATGAAAAAAGAAAATTTATAATTCATGTGTAGGATCACATCATCTACACGAGGGTTGGTGGCAGTGAGAAAAAGGAAAGAGTCGTTGCAGTCGCGAAGTTCTGTTGGATGCAGAACACTAAGCGATTGCCTTGAAGTTGTCATCCACCGTGACTCTAAGCTTCACCATCAAGTCTCCCTGATTTCTTCTGCACCATAATGGCATCAAAAAAGGAAGCATACAGCCGGTATAATGTTGGAAATGACAAATATATCGTCTACAGCACAGCTGCTTACTTTGGGAAGATGGCTTTGTGTGCTACAGCTTGTGGTACAGCTGTAAGAAGTGAAAATCCTCGTTGGAGATACCTAAGAGATAATAGCTAGTACTATTTCGGGGCGCTTTCTATAAGAAGTCCAGCATCCATGGGTTTCAGCTATCGATCTCAAAAGCTTTCTGTTGAAAGGAGGAAAATTGCCATATCACCTCTTCCTTCCCGTTCCTTTTTATTTTCCATCCATGTAAACAGTTTTTGTGAGACATAGTTATTTAAAAAAAACCTATATTCTCCTTTATTTCAACATGAGCGAACATAAGTGAATCTAAGCTGCAATGGAGAAGCTAACAAATATTAAATCGTTGATATCTCGAAAATCCTCTGAAGTGGATGGCCCTATCGCTTCACATCGCATTTCAAGCATAAATTAAACTCATAACAACTCTCAAGGAGTCGTGCGTTCATACAAGGATAAATAGTGACGTACCAGATCCCAGTTACCTTCTCCTGTGTAGAATTTTATGGCAAATCCACGAGGATCACGTACGGTATCCGCCGATCCGGACTCTCCGCCTGCAAATTGCTTAATGAGTTTAATTCGTTCTCGAAAATAGTTGAAGAGCTATATAAAAGAGTTGAACATTGTCGAAATTAGAAAAGAGAAAAAGTAGGAGGAAAACAGTAGAGTTTTTTCTCACTGGGATCGATTACTTTTTAAAACTATTCTAGTAAATCGATAGTTGATGCTGTTTTTTACTTTACTTTTATGCTTCAAATTCTACTCGCTCCAAGTATTCTATCCATTTTTGTGTTGTGTATCCCATTTAAGCAATTCGCTTTCACTGCTTATTAAAAACCGGCCTGTGAGATTGGTATACCAGCAATGTTTACTAAGTGCTACTCCAACGACCTTCACAGGTCCTTATCCAGTAGAACATAGATAGGTCCTTCTGGAGCAACTGCCCTTGTCAAAACCGAGCACTACAAACGTTAGACATGTTGGTTCTAAATCCACTTCCGTTACTTTTGTTACTGGTGTCATCTACTTTTTCGGAGTAAGATCTAATAGCTGTTGAGTGCTCTGGAGGTCCGTGCAGTCCGAATTCATGCCAATATTTAACCAGATAATCTTCCATAACTTCGAGCACCTATATGAAGCAGGCGATCATAGATGTCCACGAAAATATTTCTTTACAAGTTCACTCTATATCATAGTAGCTTCTGGTTATCGCAATTTTCTGAGCTCGTCCATCCTTCCATTTCTCTGTGTGCTCAATTTCCCACCTGCAATTTCGAGCCTGTGGCCTGCGACCTAATGCTGGGTGATATCAACAAGTATCAACCTCTAACTGATAAGGAGATTTTCGAATAAAAAATAAAAATTCCTTTTGGATTACCTACTACTACTGCTATCAGCTTATGTCTTGTTTCACTGAAAAGGGAGGTTGTTATGAAATTAAGCAGACGTTTAAGTACTACTAGTTCTGTTCGCATTCTGCGAAATGTGAGTAGTGACAAACGTTACATATGTGGAAAAGCAGCACCACTACTGTCCGCGAAGCATTTTATAGAGAATACTGGCCATACCAGTCGTCATAAGGAGCCATTTTACCCTCACAACGCCCACCGAAATATTCTCTTCAGTAGTCCTCTGGGACAAATAGTAAGGCTACATTGTTCTGGCTTCAGTAAAACGAAGGTCAACAAACTCATGTAACGAATGAGAAAGAACTCCAAAAAAATTGTTCTCCATTTCTCAACGCCACCTCAGATTTCAAACCAGCTATCGTCACAATGATGGATATGGATGAAGACGATGTTAAATAGAAAAACATAGTTGTTCATTGTTCTGTTCTATTCGTCCCGATACGACGGCTATGGAGAACAACATCACGGGATGAAACAACTTCTGATGAAGGCGATACTACCGAAACGTTAGCCATAATAAAGATTTATAATAACCTCGTTTGAGTGGATAGTGATTCAGTCCATCAGGGTNCAAAAAAATTGTTCTCCATTTCTCAACGCCACCTCAGATTTCAAACCAGCTATCGTCACAATGATGGATACGGATGAAGACGATGTTAAATAGAAAAACATAGTTGTTCATTGTTCTGTTCTATTCGTCCCAATACGACGGCTATGAAGAACAACATCACGGGATGAAACAACTTCTGATGAAGGCGATACTACCGAAACGTTAGCCATAATAAAGATTTATAATAACCTCGTTTGAGTGGATAGTGATTCAGTCCATCAGGGTGCAACGTGCTGGCTTAACCTCTGCCCAACTCTCTCCTACAATCCACATTGGAGGCCTTAACTCGGTTAAATACCGGCATCCTGCGATCTTAGTAAAGAAGACGAAATCCTCCAGCAGCAGCCGAAACAACACGGAATATTCGAAGACCTTTATGGACGATGAATGCGAGGAAAACGAATCGATGGTAAGAAGTGCTGGAACCCACACAGTAGATGTGATAACCGGTTATGTAAAAGAAAATAAGAAAACAAGCCAGTGTAGGATTATCAAACATGTAAAATATTGATTATCCAAGCCGAGGTTCAATGAACGTCGCCACTGACATTACTGTCCGTTGTTGTAAGAACTTTGAATTTTTTTGTAAAGACATTCTATATGGATTTACAACCCTTCCTGAACAATTTCACCAAAATATTAGAACTCATATTAATATTATCACTCATATTACTTTAAACATACTATTTAAAAGATAGATCTGCTTCATGATTTGCTCTCATAGTGGTTGGGTCGGATGGGTTCGGTTCGCAGATATCGAACTACCCATTATGTAGTTAATCAACAGAATGGACTGAGGCCAGACAAGAAGTAGTTGAACACCTCTATCCGGAAGAACACATAATGTCCGGAAATGCTGCTGCCTTTGAACAAACGCAGCCGCCAGGTGGGCTAATCTGTCTTCGGCCCACTACAGCCAGCCACTTCTTGCTTATGACGATCTATGAACGCATACAGCATGAAATGTCGATGTCAATTGCTTCCGGAACAAAGAAGAACATCTGCAGATGAGAGAAGTAGAATCGCACAAGAAGAAAAGAGGGCACTGTCTTAAGGGGAACACTTCCAAGAGGCTCTATTGCACTCATATTACCACAATGATAACAGACACCAGTGGTCGTCGCGGACATGTGTGTGATGCGGGTCATGTCCTTTTGACTCAGTTCATATAGAAGCTTAAATCCTAACTATCGTATCGTACATTAAGGATAGTTTGCGGTAGCGCCTAACAAGGAGCAAGGGTCTTGGAAGATTGTGAATGAGAATAGGGAACAGAGAAGTTTCTAAGGTCAAGAAAGGCTAGGAAATGATCTATGATTTCTATGAATGGATAGTAAAACAGAAAGTCATAACGTTAACTTTTATTTGCTGCTTATTACGATTTTTCACGACAGGGTATAAC